GGCTGAGGATGTTGCAGCATGGAGGCCTGGCGTGCTGGCACCCCCTCCTACTCGAGAGGCTGGCCGACCGCGCGAAGCAGCACGCCAGTCACCTCGCCAAGCGCGACGTCGACGAGAGGGGCAGGCAGTTCGACGAGTGGGTTGGCAAGCAGCTCACAGGAGGAGCGGCAGGGCTCCACGCGGTCACGCGAGTGGCGGTGGGCTGGCAGGGCAGCGACTGCAGCATCGGTGCTGGACCCAGCAGCCTGAGCAAGGAGCTGGACGACCTCGAGAAGGAGTGGAGCAAGATCTGGAAGGTGCAGTGCAGCCACGCCGAGCTGGAGTGGCCGTCCGATCTCGGTGAGCGCCCCCCCAGGCCCAGCTGCGAGGTGATGCGGGCAGTCCTGAGGTCCTTCAGGAAGGGCACGGCCACGGGATTCGAGGCGATCAAGCCGAGACAGCTGCTGGAGCTCAGCGACGAGGGGATAGAGACTCTCATCGACATCGTGGTGGCGGTCGAGCAGGCTGCGGAGTGGCCGCAGATCCAGAGCAAGATCGTGTTCTTGGTCAAGAGGCTGGGCGGCGTGCGCCCCGTGGCCATTGTGCACGTCCTCGCTAGGGTGCAGACGAGGCTACGCAAGCCCCTGGCTGAGGAGTGGGAGCGCAAGAAAGATCGGCCCTTCTTCTGGGCGGCGCGCGGCAGAGGCTGCGAGAGGGCGGTCTGGCAGCAGGCCGTGGAGTGCGAGTGGGCGACAGCGAAGGGGCGCGAAGCTGGCGATGCATCCAGCTGGGTCGCGGCCCTCATCCTCCTGGACCTACGCGTACGAGCAGGTGCAGCATGGGCGCCTCATCCAGGCCGCCCAGCGGACGGGCTTCCCGCTCTGGCAGCTCAGGCTGCAGGTGAGCTTGTACCGTGCGCCCAGGTGGGCAGCTCAGGCTGCAGGTGAGCTTGTAAGCCGCGGGACGAAGCCGTCAGCAACGCCATCAGCACCGAGCAGGCGGTGCTGCCTGGAGACGGGCTGGCGACGCTCATGCTCAAGATGCTGCTGCTTGAGCCGCTGGACAAGCTTCAGGAGCTGGTTCCCACGCTGGCGATTTCGGTGGTCGTGGATGACATCATCCTGAAGAGGGTGGGCGGCTTCCAGCGGACAGTCAACGACCTCACGCTGGCGGCCAGGCACCTCAAGGTACTGCTCGGCGAGGCCGACCTCGAGGTCGCGGTGAAGAAATCCAGGGCGCTGGCGAATGTGCCAGCAGCGAGGCAGGAGCTCGAGAAGCGCCTGCTGAAGCCGCTGGGGGTGCGCGCCACAGGACAGGAGAGGAACCTGGGGGTCGACTTCAGCGGTGGCAAGAGGATAGGACGAGCAGTTCGTCGCGACAGGATGGTGCAGGCGAGCGGCAGGCTGCGCAGGATCAAAGTGCTGCAGGTGGTCAAGGCCAAGCGGAGGGCCACCAAGAGGATTGTGAAGACGGGGCTGCACCCGTGCATCGGATACGGCACGGCCATCACGGGCTGCACGGAGGGGGAGCTGGACCGCGCCAGGACCCTCACTTTCGTCGCGGTCTCCAACACCACGGCGAGCAAGTCCAGGTCGCTCGGGCTCATGCTCCAGGCAGGCCTTGACCCGATCTACGACGCGACCTGCAAGCCGGTGCTGATGTTGCTGCGTGCGGTCTGGGAGCGGTGGGTGCCGCTGCACATGGTGTGGCGGGGCCTCGAGGACAAGCGGCCTGTGTCCTGGGTGCACGTGCAGGGCCCGTGCGCGGCGACGGTGCTGTCCCTCAGGAGGATCGGCTGGGACGTCGTCGCCGCCAACTGCTGGGTCATGGACGACGGCGTGGCCATCGCGCCCTTCGACTGCGCGCCGTGGGTCGTGGTCAAGCTGGCGAAGAGAGCAGTGCAGCGCTGGCAGCGGAGGCAGGTCAGCAAAGCCCCAGGGTGCGCGCACTTGGCGGGTGGCGGCGAGCTGGAGCCCCTGGTCAGGCTCACCTCCTCTGGCTGCGCTAGGAAAGCCGACGAGCCACGCCGAGAGGAGGGAGCACCTCGCACCAGGGTTCGGTTGACGGCGCGAGAGCAGGCCTACCTGAGGTCCCTCATCATCGATGGGCAGTGGACTCAGGCGCGCAAGGAGGAGAAGGGGCTGGCGCCCAGTGCAGGGTGCTTGAGGTGTGGAGCCAGGGGCACGCTGATGCACAGGCACTTCGACTGCCCGTGCTGGCGTGAGGTGCTGACGCTCCCAGAGGACCTGGCAGGCCTCCGAAGGCAGAGCGGAAGGCCTGAGGTGCAGCTGCTGCTTGAGAGGTGCCTGTGGCCGACACCACGGGGCATCTGCCGCCCGCCAGTGTGCAGCGACGTGTGCTGGAAGGGCGACCACGATGGAGGCACCCTTCCTGGAGGTGAGCTGTTTCTCGATGGCTCGGCGTTCGAAGCGGGCTACGAGGAGGTGGCGGCAGTTGGCTGGAGTGTGGTGGCGCTGCAGGCGCACAGTGACGGGTGCAGGGCCTCCATCGCTGGCCAGATGGAGGGCCACTGCGTGGACATCAACGGCGGGGAGCTCACAGCGGTGATCATGGCGCTCAGGTTTGGCCAAGGGGTCGCGGTGCTGGTGGTCGACTCCAAGTACGTGTACGACGGCTTCTACAAGGTCGGCAGGGTGGGCACCACGGGCTACGCGTACACGTGGGCTCACCTGTGGCGGCGAGCCTGGGACCTGCTGGACGAGCGAGGAGGCCTTGGGCATGAGGTCAGCCTGAGGTGGATGCCCAGCCACAGCACGCGGCGGCAGGTGGCGGCGGGCGAGGTGCTGCACAGAGGTTGGTACGGCAACCGACTGGCGGACAGGGCGGCAAAGGCTGCGGCGGCCAGCGGGCGCCTCCCCGTGCGGGACAGAGAGTGCCTGGAGAGGAGTCGAGACGTGGTCGAACGAGCAGCCATGTGGTGCGCGGCAGTCGGCAGCTGGGTCGACGGCAGCGACACCACGCACGGCAAGACGAAGGTGCAGCGCGCGCTGCCAGTGCGCAAGGAGCCAGCGGCGAGAATGGCCTGCGTCTGGAGGAGGCCGCCTGGCCTACGTCCCTGGTGCGAGGTTTGCAGATGGTCAGGCAGATCAGGAGAGTGCCCTGGCAGCATCGTCGCCGAGGCGATCAGGGCCAACAACAGGCTGAAGGCGCAGCAGAAGGCGTCGCACGACCTGGTGCTCCTCGCGCCTGTTGATGGGAGGCTGCTGGTGCGCAGGATGCCGCTGGTGGCTTGCAGGGCGTGCGGGTTCACAGGCGCGGCCAGAGCGAGCTCCTTCCACCTCGAGTGCAAGAGTGTCCCTTCGGCTGCAGGCGCCGCCGCGGTCGCGAGGCTGAGGAAGGGACTGGCTCCGAAGGTGGTCAGCGAGGTGGCAGCCAACATCACGATGCTGTCGGACGACGTGCAGGAGGGGAGAGGCCAGCCGCCGCAGGACATCGCGGGGGAGGAGGACGGCCACTCCTTGCGCCCGCCAGGAGGAGCTCCAGGTGGCGGGGAGGGGGAGGACGAGGACTCCCTGCGCCCCCTGACCCCTGAGGGCTCCAGCGCGGCGGCTGGCCCGAGAGGGCGAGCTGGCGGCAGGCGTGCAGCCGCGGCACGCCAGGCCGCGGCAGGAGGCGAGGCAGGGCCTGCGGGCGGCGGCGACGGGCCAGGCCCGCGGCGCCGCGCGCGCGTGCGCAGCAGCTCACCGAGGCAAGCCGCTCTGACGCCGCCCTCGCTGTCGCCGAAGCGGGCGGCCAAGGTGGCCAAGCAGCAGCAGGAGGAGAGCCAGCGGCCTGAGGCGGGCCCCGCCGAGGGAGAAGACGGGGTGGCTGCAGGTGGCAGCGGCGGCGGACCGCCCCCGCCGATGCTGGCGGACGACGTGCAGGAGGGGAGAGGCCAGCCGCCGCGGCACATCGCGGGGGAGGAGGACGGCCACTCCTTGCGCCCGCCAGGAGGAGCTCCAGGTGGCGGGGAGGGGGAGGGCGAGGACTCCCTGCGTCCCCTGACCCCTGAGGGCTCCAGCGCGGCGGCTGGCCCGAGAGGGCGAGCTGGCGGCAGGCGTGCAGCCGCGGCGCGCCAGGCCGCGGCAGGAGGCGAGGCAGGGCCTGCGGGCGGCGGCGGCGGGCCAGGCCCGCGGCGCCGCACGCGTGTGCGCAGCAGCTCGCCGAGGCGCCAGGCCGCGGCAGGAGGCGAGGCGGGGCCTGCGGGCGGCGGCGGAGGGCCAGGCCCGAGGCGCCGCGCGCGTGTGCGCAGCAGCTCGCCGAGGCAGGCCGCGCTGACGCCGCCCTCGCAGTCGCCGAGGCGGGCGGCCAAGGTGGCCAAGCAGCAGGAGGAGAGCCAGCGGCCTGAGGCGGGCCCTGCCGAGAGAGGAGGCGAGGTGGCTGCAGGTGGCAGCGGCGGCGGACCGCCCCCGCCACGCGAGGCCAGAGGGGCCAGGTCGCAGGAGGAGGTCCAGCCGCCTGCAGGTGAACCTGCTGCTCGATGCGAAGCAGGGGCTGCGGGCGGCGACAGCGTGGACTTGGAGGACAGGTCGCAGGAGGAGAGCATGCCGCCTGCAGGTGGCTCTGCTGCTCGATGCGAAGCAAGGGCTGCGGGCGGCGGAGGCGGCTGGCCGAGGCCGCGGCGCTGCACGCGGGAGCGCAGCAGCTCGCCAGGCTTGGCCGCCAAGGTGGCGAGGCTGCTGCGGGCCGCGCGGGGTGAGGCCTGGCCGACAGCCTCGGGCGCGTAGCTGCGCCGAGGCGCGGGCGCGCGCGGGGCGCGCGCCTCGCAGGGGTGGCCGTGGCTCGACGCGGTCCGCCTCACCCCGCGGGCATCATCATCATCCTCCTCCTCCTCCTCCTCCTCCTCCTCCTCCTCCTCCTCCTCCTCCTCCTCCTCCTCCTCCTCCTCCTCTTCCTCCTCTCAACCATCCAACTAATGGTGGTGGTGGTGGTGGAAAACAGGCCCAGCATGCGTGGCGCGCGGTGCGTCTGGGAGGGGGCCGTCGTCGCTCATCGCCGTCGGCTTCCCCGTGCGCTCCAAGGTCAAGTACTTCATGCCAGTGCTCTCCGAGCTGTCCAATTCGCATTTGCTCATCCAGAACATCTCTAATTTGGTGGGCTGGTTCATAGGCGACAACGACCAGCCTGGCCTGAAGGATACCGGTTTCCCAGTGGAGGTAGTTATAGTGAATGTGACGTTGATGTTGACGGCGATTGCGACGCCGACAGCAATGATGTGACGGTGTCTATGACGGTGGCGACGGCGACGACGTTTGCGACGAATGCAATGAAAGTGAGGTGATGCTCGTGGTAGGGGCGCTGATTCAGTTTGTTGTAGCTATGGTGATGACGAGTGTGTTGTTTATGTGAGTGTTGATGAATGGTGAAGGCCACGACGAGTTCTTACAATGCATGATGATGTCCCTGTCGTTCCGCGAGTGAGTGTTGTCAGCCTGGCACTCCCTGCACGCTGATTCCTGCACGCTGAGAGACTCGGGGCCCTTCCTAGCCATAATGGCATGCGGAGAATGAAGGAGGGGGGAGCAGTAAGGGGGGGGGCATACCATGGCCCCGGCCGTGATAAGCTCGCGGATGTCGTGCCCCCCCCCCTTCTCAAGGGTGCCCTCGAGGGCGCGAAGTTATTCGCGCTTCGCGCTTCGGCTCCGATTCCTCCTCATCCACCTCTTCTCCCCTGGGAGACGGCGCGAGAGCGCGACGTTACTCGCACGTCGCGCTTCGCGCAGCGCGAAGCGCGGAGTTGGGCGCGTCCCTTTGCCCTCCCCGCGTGCGCGCACATGCCTCGGGCCATGACTCGTGGCCCCCCTCGTGGACGCCCCCGAGGGGCGGGCTCCGGTGCTCGGAGGAGGCCTGGAGGTGGGCACGCAGCACCAATTTTCGGGAGGGGAAACAGCACACCGACACAATTCATCGTCGATTTTCCCCTGGGGGGGGAGGCAAAAACCGAGAAAGTATTGGAACACATGGGGAATCCGGTCATTTGTGTGTGTATTTATTTGTGGGTCCAAGGGCCCCTTCAAATATCGGCGATAAGCCTCTGCCCAGGGAATGACGAACCAACACCACACACCCATACCCATAGGGGGGTCGGAGAGGGCTATGGGCGCGTGTTGTCGGATGGGGGTCCCCGCTCGAACGGGAGCGTTCCCCAGGGTCCGACAACCCGCACCCATGCCCATAGCCTGTCCTCCTCCCAACGACCCCCCTATGGGTACGGGTGTGTGTTGCTCGTTCGGCAGGGAAGATGACCCCGATCTCGGTGGCGGTGGTGGTATTGTTGTGCGGGCTTCCGGGGTGGCCGAACGTTTGCCACCCACGCAAAAGTCTTGGAGCGTTTTCCCCAAGTGGAGACCACCCCCCCGTGTCGGTGTTGGTGCCCAGTCCCAGGCCTCCCAGGGGGGAGTAGCACGATCAGCAGGCGGCGGCGGCGGCGTATCCACATGTCCGTGTCAAAGGAGCAACGGGAACGGCGGACGCAGGGCGCGTATGGGCATTGTGCCCAAGCCGGTGGCGCGATTCGGCGGTGGGCGAGGGGGGGAAGTGAGAAGGGGCGGGCATTCTCAGAAGGCTCGGGAGTCCCCTAGCCTTGCGAGAAGCTTTCGGAGCTTGCCCTGAAGGCATGGAACAAATCCTCTCCGAAGGCCGGATGGCTTCTGAGAAGTCCCGCTGCTCGGGCGGGTGGTAAAGGGGGTGCCCCAAATGGGGGGTGAAGGAAAGGGCCAGAAAAGGGGTCCTTTAGGGCCCCTTTGGGGCACCAGTTGGCTCCCAAAGGAGCCCTAAAGGGCTCCCAGTAGGCCCTTTTTCCTCACCCCCCAATTGGGGTAACCCCCCTGAGAAGTCCTGAGAAGTCGCTCCGCCTGAGCCGCCTCCTGAGAAGTCCTCCTGAGAAGTCCTCCTCCTTCTCCTTCCCCCCCCTTGCCTCGCCGCCGAACACAGTGGGCGGATGCCCCCGCCCCGGCGGATCGATTTCGGGGGCTCCTCGATCGAGGCCCAGGGCCAAGAGGAAGGACGAGCGGGAGGGGCACTTCAGTGCGAGTTGGTGGCTCAGGCGGGCGCGGTATCATGGCGACGTCGAGAACAGCAGACACGATGATGATAGTACAGGGTCCGGCTTGAATTAGGAACACTTATTTTTCAAAAGGGGCCCGGTCGTTCTTTTGGTTTGTATGCGATCTGCTACTTTTTTGGCGGCGAGCCCCCCTTGGTGTTTTGTTCGGACTTCCTAGACTTACTCTGAAAAAAAGCGGCTTCGTTCCTTATGTATCGTTGATTAGGTCAGGCCGAATACTGTATCATGGCGACGTCGATAACAGTAGACACGATGATGATAGTAGAGCGGGAAAGGGCGGACGGCACACCTGGGCGACCAGGAGCCACCAGGAGAGACCAGGCCCTCATCCTCCTCCTCCTCCTCCTCCTCCTCCTCCTCCTCCTCCTCCTCCTCCTCCTCCTCCTCTCGGTCCAGGGCCTATCGATCGAGGCCCAGGGCATCCGCCTCCCTTTTCAAGGTTCAAGCAGTGGCGAAGCGTCCTGGGTCGCCCATGGGCCAACCACGTAACTAATGCTCTAAGAACCACCTGTGGTCTGCACGAAGTGTTCTCAGAACATGCCTGGCTGAGGTTGTCTTGTTTTAGCACATTGGGCCGACGTTCCAAGAATATTGCTTTTGTTTTTGGAGCTTGTTGGGGGTTTTGAGAACATTGCGTGGTAGGCCCATAGAAATGCTGGGACGGTCGGTCTCTGTTCAGAAGGTCGCGACGAACAAAAACATCAAGGGCGCGAACAGGGGCAACGTTGCTGAGGATAGGTTCGGGGTGGAATTGGTGTTTGGATGTCTCTTCGGTTCTCTGCGGCTTTCCAGCCTGGTGGTGCTCTACATCGGCGGCGCCTTGCCGAGAGCGTTTGGGGGGGGGGGGGGGGGGGGGGGGGGCTGGATCGTTCCGAACGGCCTTCGGAGGCCCGAGTCATGGTTGGAAGGCCTTTGGGGGACGGGGGTTGGGTCAGGGGGAGATGAATCGGCCCCAATCGCCCACTCACCGCCGACGGGCCTGATAGCCCACCCCGCCAAGAAGCGTGCGGATTCACTACAGGGGCAAATCACCGATCTATCGACGAATGTCGAGGTTCCTCCACCTGAGACGATCCCCCTTTATCGTTTCCCCTCGGTATGGAATTGACCAATTGGTGATGAGAACAAGGATTGGAGTTGCCAGCAGGGCCGAGAAGCAGGAGTATCGGATCGATGAGAGAGAGGGGGGTGGCGGCGGCGAAACGAATTGCGATAACAATGAGGAGCAGTAGGCCGAGCAATACAATCATATGGTCGAGGCGGAGAAGTGTAGAGTGCTATGAGCATATGAAGGTAATGATCAGGGGTAATGATAAGGAGGCGTAGTATGATGAGAACGACACCGACGAAAGTCTGGAGAGGGAAAAGAGGTAGGATGGAGGAGGGTGGAGGAGGGAAGGGGGGGAGGGAGGGAGGAGGAGGAACAGGAGGAGGAGGAGGACAGGGGAGCGAGCATGATGAGGATGTGGAGAATGAGGAAGAGGAGGATGATGAGGAGGAGGTGGAAGAAGAGGAGCAAGGCGAGGAGGAGGAAGAGGAGTAGACAGAACAACAACGGGAGGAGTAAGAAGGAAGGATGAGTGGGGGGGAGATATGGAGTGGGTAGAGGAGCTCATATGATATATGTATATATATATATATATCATACATTACATATACGTAATCTTCCGGACCTCCGCGCAGATCGCGTGGATCGCCGCTGGGCCCTCTTCCCTTTCGCGCGGAGCGCGTCAGGGGCGGCGTCGAAAGGTCGCGGTACCGGTTGACATGCGTCGGTTTGCAGATTTCTTTCACTTTGTCGATTCCGAAGGTCCATGTTTCTGAGTTGTCTGTTTTTTTTAGGAGCGGGGATCGATGCGAGGGATGATGATGATGATGACGATGATGATGATGGTGATGATGATGATGATGATGATGATGGTAATGATGATGATGATGATGATGATGATGATGATGATGATGATGACGACGATGATGATGATGATCATGATGATGATCATGATGATGATGATGATGATGATGATGATGATGATGATGATGATGGTGATGATGATGATGGTGATGATGATGATGATGATGATGATGATGATGATGATGATGATGATGATGATGGTAATGATGGTGATGATGATAAGGATGATGATACTGCCAGGGAAGTTGTGGAGGAACCTACAAAGGACGGCGAGATCGAGAAGACGCAAGAAGAAACGGAAGAGGCATGGGTGGGAGTACGGAATAGAAAGAAGCCGACGACGGCCGCGATAGTGATGATGTTGAGGAGATGATGTCTTCGGACGAAGACTAGGATCAAACCAGGAATCGCATGTATGCCGAGTGGCAAGGGGAGGATGAGGCGGCAGAGTAGTGAGACAGGCAACGAATAATGAACCGTAGAAAAGGGGCGCCCGCCAGACGGTGGCCCTGTCCAACCTCATCGCCTTGGTCCAGCGCTTCCCCAACGTCTTGGACAAAGATAAGCACATCCGACCGATGGAGGCCAAGTTCCGCCAGGAGACCCGAGATACGGGGCAGCTGAAGCGGAACATGATCCCGTCGAAAACTGCCATCGTGTTTTCCCGTGGTTTTCCGATCGGGGCGCCCCCCCCCCCCGCGGAGTAGATTTTGGCTGTTTTTTGGCGCTCGTTTCGAGCTGGTGGAGCCTCCCCCCATAGGACGCACGGTTCCAAACAGTCGCCCTAAGCAGAGGTCCCGAGCCAGACCCCCCCCTCCACCCCCTTCCAGCCAGTGTCGAAACGCCGAATGAAAACAAAACCGCTCACCATTTGAATCGACGCTGACCTTTATTTGGCACATCCCAGGGGGGAGCGGAGAAGGGGGGAGGTAGGGAGGGGATGAACGGTGGCCCTCCGCCCACCTCCTCCTCCACGTCTGGCGCGGCGCTGGCGGTTGCGCGGCCCGCCCCGACCTCTGGCAATGGATTGCAGCAGGGCGAAATACCCAACATCGCAGGCGATGTTTCTCCCCCAATCCCCGAGTTCCGCCCGAGAAGTTTGGCCGCTCAGAAAAGGGGGGAACCCTCGGACACACCCCGAGGGGGCTCATCGGACGCACCCCTAACGCGGATGGGCGCTCCCCCATCGTGTATCCCAGGGTTGGGCCCAACATGTCTGGTTCATTCGAAGACCCTCCAAATCCTGGGATAGGGGTCGACATATCCCCTGTTAAGACCATGGAGGCGGGGCAGAGGGCGGCCGCGGAGAAGGGAGGGAGGCGGGCGGCGCAGCCACCGCGGCCGCCACGCTGCGCCCCCATCACACCACACGTGCGATGACAGAACAGCACTCCTCCTCCTCCTCCTCCTCCTCCTCCTCCTCCTCAGCCGTTCTGGCCCAGATTTTTTCTGGGCTTGCGAGAGCAGTCTTCAGAGCGGCAGTCGCTCTCGCGAGTCATTGTGGCTTGTTTCCCTTCAGTTCGAGGGATCTCAACCCTCACGCTTTCAGTGAGCTCCTGTGGGAGCAATCTTACGTCTCAGGCGGAGGCAGCCCTCCCATGGGACGCGATGTCGATGACGTGCTCGCGGGTCCGCGCTTCCCCACCTGGGGATGCCCTGGCTGCGGGCGCAACCAGAACTGGGCGTCCCGCATCCGCTGCGCCTGCGGCAAGCCAGCGCCCCAGGCGATCACGCAGCGCGCCAAGTCGGCGGCGGCCAAGGCCAGAGCGCAAGGTCCTGTGCCTGCCCCGCGTGATGGTGGCGCTCGTCCTCGCGGGGCATGGGCTGGCGGACCTCCTTCGTCCTCGTCGAAGTTGGAGAAGCAGCTGGAGGCCCTCACCAAGCAGGTGGCCGCCCTCACATCCAATGGAGGTGGAGGCCAACGCGGTGCGGGAGGTGATGCGGGCGGCCGCAAGCCCCCTGCGGCTGCCGGCCCTGGCGGCGACGACGCCGCTGACGGCGATGCCGAGCTCGCAGCCATCCGCGCCAAGGCCGACGCCCTTGAGGAGGCCCTCGGCGCAATCAAGAAGTGCACGGCCCTCGGCGACTCAGCGGTGCAGTCGCAGATGGAGTCTGAGCTGCTGGCTGTGCGCAAGTCGATCACGGATCGCAAGCCTGCCGTCACCAGGCACAACACCCTCGGCCACAAGTTGGCGCGCTCCCAGCAGAAGTTGTCCAAGCTGCAGGAGGAGATGGTCGAGCAGGAGAAGGCTGTCAAGGAGGCTCAGGAGCGCCTTCAACTGCAGCGCGAGAAGATCAGGGCCACACAGGTCGAGATCTCGGCGTACCAGGTGGAGCTGCGCAGCATGGTGCAGGAGGTGGCTCCGTCACAGGACCCGTCCACGGAGCCCAAGTTTGAGCTCCACCCTGACATCCTCGCCTCCGCCCCCGATGAGGTGCAGCAGATGGTCGCCTCGCCGTGTTTCATCAAGTTCCAGGAGCTGCTGCGGGCGCAGCACAAGGTCAAGCAGGAGGCCTCGGGGCCTGCACCTGCTACTCCCACTGCCCCACCTTCCCCCGCCACTGAGGGAGGAGGGGCTTCCCACCAAAGCATACCCGTCCCTGAAGATATGGACTTGGAGGATTTGGAAGGAGAAAAGATTCAGCTACTTCTTTCGGCTGCACGGAAAGAGGAGGAGGATCATGCCGAAGTTTTCGCCAAGTTCCTTCGAGAGATGGGGGTCAAAGCTAAGAAGCAAAAGTGTGGGTGACACTATGTTGGGCTTAGCTGTACCTTTGCTCTCAGGGGTTCCACTATCCACCTCAGGTGTTCCAGTTCCCCCGCTGAAGGGGGCGCCCGATAGATCACCGACAGATAGTGACGTTCGCAAGTATTTTTTGGAGTCGTTCAACGGCTCATGCTGGCGCACTCTGCGCCGACGTTTGGCCGAGACGGACGCTGTCGTGCTGTGTGCCCAAGAGGTTGGCATCAGCGAGGAGTTCGTCGGTCAGGCCACAGCTGCAGCTCGCTCGCTCGGCTGGCACTCTCGCATTCTTCCTGCTCGTATCAATGCTGAGTCTGGGAAGTTATCATCGGGAGTAGCAGTATTCGCACGACTAGCAGTGGGACTTCGATGGCCCGCTGAAGGCAACGGGTGCATATGTGCCCACAGAGTCGTCAAGGTCTTGATTGAGTTCCCTGGGTGGCCTGTTTTGTCGCTTTACTCGGTTTATATGCGGTCCGCTGAGGGCCTTAGCGAGGCCAACTTGGGGATTTTGAAGTCGATAGGTCAGTCGATCACCGACCCGACGCACACGATCTTGGGAGGAGATTGGAATATGAGTCCTGAGGTCCTGGAAGCATCTGGATTCCCTCGGAAGCTAGGTATGCTCATCCTGTCACCGCGGGCGTTCACCTGTCGCTCCCCGACTTCGAACAGTGTGATTGACTATTTTGTGATGGGTCCTGGGATCGCCCATCTGGTTACCCTGGTATCGGCGGACACCTCCTGGGAAGTAAAACCTCACCGTCCTGTTCGCGTTGAGTTCCGAGGTGACACACTCCGTTTAAAGCAGCTTGTATACCGCACTCACCAACGTCTGCCAGTCGATCCGCCATTCGGACCGTCTCCGTCACCTGTCGAGTGGAGCGGTGCCATGATGCACGCGGCACACGCGATCGCCACCAGTATGCATGCTGCTGCGACAGAGGCCTGGGCAGTGCTGTCGAATGCCTGGGGTCACTTTGTCGACTGTGCCGAGGTGGAGCTGCACAGAGTTTTAGGCACGGAGGCCAAATATTTAGGAGAAAGGAGCAGAACGATCAAGGCCTCTTGGGTTTCAGTTTTCTACCGCCCGAAGAACCCAGATGATACACTCCAGGTTATCGCAGGTTGGAAATGGGTTTTTCAGACGTTCACTGAGATGTTTAACTCGGTCGCCGCCGAGGATTGCGACCTGTATGCTTGCCAGCACCTCCAGGTTGTGTTGCAACACTCCTGCCCAGGCGAAGGTTTGAATCCAAGGCTAGACGCCACCTTGCGCGCCATGCGCGAGATAGCGATAGCATGGAGTGCAGACCGACCCTCGGAGCAGTCGTGGCGCGATCGAGCCACCCAGTTTTTGGAAGATATCCAGGCCGACTATGAAGAGGCCATCAACAATGGCGACAAACTTTCACGCGAATCTTGGGACGCATGGCAGGATAAGTCGCTTGCAGGCTCTGCGAGACTCATGCATAGGTTCACGAAGGTTCAGAGAAAGTGGCAGCCCACTATCGTTGAGCGCTCCCCAGGGATCTTCACATCGGACCCCCAGAGCCTTTTGGCCTCCGAGACCATCAAGCTAGGCGAGTTCTGGAATGCCAGTATGTCTCCGCCGTCGGCCTGGATACCGAATCGAGATTGTTTCCCACGCGCGAGCCCGTCGGAGATACGAGCAGCATCGCGCTCTTTTAGCCGCTACACTTCGCAGTCGCTCGACGGCTACCACCCCAGGCACTTCGCATGCTTGAGCGACCTAGGGCTGGAGGTCCTGGCGATGCTCTATGAGGCGATCGGGCGCCTCGGCCTGTTCCCAGCGCAGCTGTTGTGGATGCTGATGCCCCTCTTGGAGAAGCCTAAGGGAGGACTACGCCCCATTCTCCTCTTGGGATCCCCAGTTCGCGTCTGGGAACGTTTGCGCCGTTGTCAGTGTGATGAATTCCTGGAGCGGGCCCATCGGCCCTACTGGTCTTTCGGGTCTGGACAAAACTCGGAGGCGGCCATCTGGAACCAGAGTGTCTTATCGGAGCAGGCTTCTTCAAGTGGCAAGGTAACGGCAGGTTTTATCTGGGATGGAATGAAGTACTATGAATCCTTTATTTTGGTCTGGCTCCGAGACAGGGCCATCTTCTGGAGGATCCCCATGGTGCTCATCAAGACCCTATACAACCTTTGGAGATCCCCGAGGATCCTGAGGCTGGGGGCTAACCACTCACCCCTGGTCCTATTTGCAGAGTCTGGGCTTCCTGCTGGGGATATTTTCAACGATGTGTTTGTCAAGGTTTACGCGATGTTTGAATTTGACATGTGGTCCCAACGGCACCCTGAGGTCTCCCTTGGGTCCTACGTCGACGATGACACTGCGGCGGCATACGGCGACGAAGATGCGATTGTAGCCAACTTAGTTCGAGCAGGGATTGACCTCAAGGATGTCTTTGATCACAGGCTGAACGTCCGCTTGGCTGAGGACAAGGCCGTCACTTTCGCCTCTTCTCAGCGACTGGCATACCGCCTATGCCGTCGCCTCCGTGCTGTCTGCCCATCGGCTGCGACCAGCGCGGCCGTCTCGCTGGGCACGGACTTGGCACCAGGCCAACGGCGAACTTGCAAAAGAGGCATGGACAAGAGGAAGGAGCGTTTCAGGATGATGAGGAAGAGACATAAACTGATCTCTCACTATCGTCGTAAACTTCCTCGGGACAAATCCAGAATGCAGAAGATTTATACTGCTGGAGTGCGCCCTGCCGCTGGCTATGGCGCCATGGTTCTAGGCATGTCGGACACCGAGCTTCAGTCTCTACAGCGAGTCTTGCTAGCAGGAAAAAACCCAGCTCATCGGGGGGCCTCCCTGACGGCCAAGTTGGTCCTACACGGGGACCCTGCATGGAAACAGTCGGTGGCCCCTGCCCATCAGTGGGCGACCAGCCTCTGGAGGTCGATAACCACCCCATCTACTTCTCCATTCTCGTTTCGGCAGCACATGCAGATATGGAGGGATGTTGTGCAGTCTCAGGAGCTCGATCTGGAATCCACGGGATGGCGGAAATCGAAAGGCCCCATTCACAGGATGCTCTTATGTTTGCACAGGATCGGCTGGAAGGCGGTGGACTTCTCAGTTTGGCACGATGAGCGAGGATACGTCATTGACCTCCTGTACACCTCGCCCGCTCTCCTCAATAAGTTGCTAGAGGAGGGCGTCCAGCGGATGCGCGAGCGTAGGGTGGCCCAGGCCACTCCGATGTTCACTTCTTCCCGCGTCTCACCCGATCCCCTGAGACGAATGCTACGCTCTAAGAAGCTCGACGGTCGGCAGAAATACTGGCTTTCTGCGTGTTTCTCTGGGGCCTGCTGGACTGCGGATCGGCTCAAATCCTCGGTGTACGTGTCGGACGGTTTGTGTCCCCTCTGTGGGGAGCCTGATTCCATAGTCCACAGGCAGTTTCTGTGTTCGGACCCGACCGTCGAAGCTGCACGCCGTGAGCATCTCTCAGACGAAGAGATGCTAGCGGCTTGTAACTGCCCGCCTGAAAAATTGCTGTTTTGGTCTCGGCTAATGGTGGCTCAGCCTGAGGCCCCCCCCCTTGCCTCGACCTCGACCCCCTTCTCCAAGGCCCGTCAGGTGAGCCACTATCGGTCGAAGAGTTTTGTGAACGAACCGTCAACACCCGCATTGTTGTCGATGGTTCGGCTACTCAGTTTGCTTTTCGTGAGCTGAATCGTGCCACGTATGCTGCTGTTTTCTTCGATCCGTCGAGCGAGACCCCGTATGAGGTTCGCGCCCGACTTCTGGGAACGGTGTGGCCTGGCCTTCCTCAGACGGCCCAGTCGGGAGAACACCTCGGGGCTGCCACTCTCTCTTGTGTGGCCACAGGCCTTAGTGAGGCCCACTCGGACTGTCTTGGAGTTGTCAACCTAGCCAATGCGCGCCAGTCCGTACAGTTGGACCCTGGACAGGCATTCGCCGGCCTCAGACGGCGCGCTCTCCAGGAGCCAGGCCAGCGAAGCATCGCATCTTTTGCTCACACGCCTGCGCACAGGTCGGACGAAGTGATAGCCGCGCTTCCCGCCCAGGAACGAAAAATCGCTCTTGGGAACCAGGACGCGGACCGACTGGCGAAGTATGCTTTGTCTCTTCACCCCTCGTTACCCGTTGAGGAGCTCGAGCAATTAGACAAGGACGTGGCTCTACTGCGAAAGCTAGTTGCCATGTTCGGTGCTGTTTTGTCTCTTTTTCCCAAGTTACAGTTTGTTCGGGACCCCACGGTTCCGCGGGTGAAAGCTCGGGCCCACCGTGCCATTGAGTGGCATGACTGGCGTGTGCTGGACCCAGGGGACGATGAAACTCCCTCGCTCGCTAGGTGTTCGAGATGTTTTAAGACGGCGATTGGAGACAGCAGACCCATGGACGGCTGCAAGGGCCTGCCCACTGCGCTCCGCAGATTGCAAGGTGCCGAGAGCGAGCGTGGCCACCTCCTGTGCACGACTTTCTTGCAGGATGACGAGTGTGCGCCTACTGTTTTCTGTTTCCGCTGCGGTGCCTTCACCAGCAAGCGGTGTTACCTCCTCGGCGGGATGTGCGGACCTCCTGGCCCCAGCGGGCGAGGTGCACTGTCCCGCATCCGTCGAGGTCTCCCGCCCCATTACAGGAATCGGGGCACGGTCGCTGCAAGCGAGGGCACCACATGTCGTGCCTCGGCCAGGTATGTCCTGCTCAAAGCAGCTGAGCCTGGACCGTCCTCCTCCTCCTCCTCCCGCTCGGGCCTGATTTCGACACCTGGAATGTCGGCCCTGGCGGAGAGGATTCGGCTGAGAGAGGAGGCCTCTCGTGCAGCAGTCTCGGCCTGAGGCCGTGGTTTTGATGTTCTGCCCTGGGGCCCTCGAGGAAAAAAAAAAATCCTCCTCCTCCTCCTCCTCCTCCTCGCGTAAGACTCGTTTTTGATCGTTGCGCAGCTGGTGCATGTGCTAAACTTACACAGCTGCGTCCACGCTCGGCCGCTGCACGCAGCGTGCAAGCTACGCGAATGTGGGTGCCGATTCTTGCAAGTGCTGCTGCGTGCGCCTCTCCCCGCAGACCCGCCTGCGCCGGACCCACTCCTCCGACTCGAAGATAAACACTCGAGACATTTTTGATTGCATCCCCTGGCGATACAGTGGGGGCACCCATCAAGAAGCCATCTGAGTTTCGTCAGGGTACCCTGGGTTTCTTCTCTCCTCGCGCTGCGCGGTGACTTCCCGCAGCCGTTGAAGGAGCTGCTGCGTTCAGGGTGTTCCATCGCGCACGGGTTCTCAGGGTTGGGTTTCTTGCGAGGGTTTCTTGCGGCCGCGCCCACACTGTACAGTCAAGACGCCGAAAGAAGGAACAGTCTGGGTACGCAAGAGGCCCGATGTTCCTCTGGTCATTCTGCGGTTGTTCCTCTAGCCCCCCTCGTGCACGCCGGCGCCTTTGGGGGCCAACAGAAGGGCTCCGCTCCTGCTTGGCCGCTCCTTCTCTCAGCGGCCCGTCTGCAACGGGCGTGGCCAGGGTGCGGGAGGGCGGGGGGGGGAGGGGCCGGCCACGCCACGACTCGAGGCGCCTTGGAGAGAACCATCGAGGACCATCCTGGACCATCGAGCGAACAAAAAAAACACGCACGAAACTGAAAAGTGCACGGGAAATGGACGTCCGAGCGACAGCACGTTACCAGACGGCGCCTGCGCGAATGGTGACGTGACGACGTGACCACGGGGAGGCGGGAGGGAGGGGGTGGGCGGGACCGGTCACGGGCGTGATGGCGAAACATGGAAGAAACATTTGTCACCGGCGCGTCGCTGGAGATGCGCAAGACTCAACCCTTCCCCCAGGGCCCGTTTCCCATCCCGAGTCGTTTTCTGTCGGTCTTGGGACCCTGTGAGGGCCCCGAGGGGTCGACGAGCGGCAAACCACAAAAGCCCGTCGTCGCGATGACATACTCACGCAGTGGCGAAGCGTCCTGGCTTGCCTATAGGCCCACCAAAGAATGTTCTCAGAACCTGTTGTGGCTTCTACGAAAAATGTGCTTAGAACATTTCTGGCTGGGACTGTCTTGCTTTAGTACATCGGGCTGACGTTCTAAGCACATTGTGTTCGTTCTCAGAACATTTTGTTGGTTCTAAGAACATCTCGTGGTAGGCCTCTAGGAATGCCGGGGCGGTCGGTCCCCGCTCAACAGATCCTCACCGGCGCGTCGCTGGAGACGCGCAAGACGACCTCGACCACGCTCTTCGGCGTGCGCATCGTCTCCACGTCGTCGGCGTGCAACGTGACGGAGGCCCCGCTCGGGCGGCCAGCGGAGCGGCCGGCAGAGCGAGAGTGCCGCCGGGAGGAGATGCTGAGGCCTTGGAGATCTCGTTCCTCCTCCCCCCTGCCCTCCCCCCCTTCCTCCTCTCCTCCCTCCCCTCCGCCCCCCCTCCCTTCTCCTCCCTCCTCCCCTCCTCCCTCCTCCTCCCCTCCCTCCCTCCCCCCCCCCCTCCCTGCTCCCTGCCTCCCTCCTCCTCGCTCCCCCCTCCCTCCTCCTCTCTCCCCCCTCCCTCCTCCTCGCTCCCTCCTCCTCGCTCCCTCCTCGATCGGGGCAGCAGCACCTCCGACTGCAGCTAGTTTCGGCCCCGCCGCCGGGCCCATTTCTCGATACACAAGCGCCTCCCGGAAAATCAGCTACGTGAGCTGATTCTCACCCCCCCCTTTGCTATCCCCCCCCTTCGCCCGGCCCGAAAGAAGTGTCCTCCAAAATCCGCCCTTGAGCATGTTTACAACAAGACCTGTCGTCCAATCGTAATGCTGCTCGGCCTGCGGATGAGCAGGAGAAGGATGTGGAGGACGGAGGTGGAGGATGAGGAGGAGGAGGAGGAGGAGGAGAGAGGGAGGAGGAGGGGGGAGGAGGAGGAGGAGGGAGGATGAGGAGGAGGGAGGAGGAGGAGGAGGAGGAGGAGGGAGGAGGGGATAGAGGAGGAGGAGGAGGAGGAGGAGGAGGAGGGAGGAGGGGGACACGCCCGACCTTTCCCCGATGCCCCAGTCGGCGCGCGCAGCGTCTCCGCGCCGCCGGCGTGCTGGTCCATGCCGGTGGCCCCCTGTGGGCGGCGCTCGGCCCTGGACCGGCAGGGCGGGGGCCGGCGCGCGCCTCCGGGGCGGAGGCCCGGGGCGGAGGCGGGGAGGAGGCGCCGATGTCTCGAGGAGCTTGCTCCTCCTCGTCGTCCTCCTCCTCGTCGTCCTCCTCGTCGTCGTCCTCCTCCTCCACCTCCTCCTCCTCCGCCTCCTCCTCCTCCTCCTCCTCCTCCTCCTCCTCCTCCTCCTCCTCCTCCTCCTCCCCCCTCTTCCTCCCTCCTCCTCGTCTTCGTTCCTCGTCCCTCCTCCTCTTCCGCCTCTTCCCCGCTTCTCGTCCCTCTCCTCTCTCCTCACCTCGCTCCTGGTGCCTCCTCGCCACTCCTGCCGCCTTCCCTATGGAGCCTGATCCTTGCTGTTCCCTGTTGATCCTTCCTCCGCCCCCTTCGCTCGGTCTCTCCAATTCTGTCTACGCGCGCGATGGAGCGGGCGAGATGCAATTCCGACGATTCAGTTTACAGTCAAGCCGCATAGGAATGATGGACAACCTTCCCAGGGGTACCCTGGCATCCTCGCCCCTTCTGCCCACCCTCAGCGACCTTCGCTGGCCAGCCCCGTTCGAAAAACGTGAACACCAGCCTCCAAGGCCCTGGCATCCTTACCGCGCATCCCTGTGATCGCGTTGACTGCATCTTCCGCCCCAGCGCTTCCCTGCGGACATCACGAGCGCTCCATCTCGTGGGAGGGATCTTCAGGATCAGGCCCAGATCTCTGACGAGCTGTTGTTTTGGAGTCCGTGGGCTTTTCCTGGGTTTCGGCCCTCGGGGGCCGTCGTCCGTCCCCCGGGCGTCAAGCGCAGGCCGGGGACGACGAGCGAGTCACCTCCTTGGGGAGGCGGTGTGGACCTTGAGCACAACCACGTTTCGGCGGAGGTCAGTGGTAGGGTAGTGCTATAGGGGGGATCAGAGGGGGTCCTCCTCCTCCTCCTCCTCCTCCTCCTCCTCCTCCTCCTCCTGCTCCTGTGCGTCCTCCTCCTCCTCCTCCTCTTCCTCCTGCTCCTGTGCGTCCTCCTCCTCCTCCTCCTCTCCTCCTCCTCTTCCTCTTCCTCTTCCTCCTCCTCCTCCTCCTCCCCGTCCTCCCCCTCCCCCGGGGCGGGCACCTGTGCGTGGGGGGGGGGACGCCAGGGCCCTCGGTGCACTAAAATCCCCATGGGTTGCCGGTCCTAGGTCGGCAACCACCCTCCCTGGGGGGGTGCGTTCGGATATTGGCGTCCTGGTCTCTGTCTCTCTCTCTCTCTCTCTCTCTTTCGCCCTCTCCGTGTCCAGTTCTTTGCCCGCATATTTGGGAACGCACCTGCGCACCTTCTGCAACATCTTTCTCGTGCAGAGTTCTTCGTGCAACATCGAGCGCATATGCGTGGGCCGCTCCGGCCGGTGCTCTAGCAAAAAACACGCCGTTGCTGTTCTTGCTCCCCCTGCTCCTGCTCCTGTTCTTCCTCCTCCTGCTGCTCCTCCTCTTCCTTGTTATTATTATCCTTGTCTTGCTTCGACCCCTCCTCGTGATGATCCTGTTCTTTTTTCCTCCTCTTCCTCCGTGCTTCTCATCCGCCTGCCGATACGGCTCTGCCCACATGGAGGTGCTAAGGTTTGTTGATGTCGCCATTCCGCCGTAGTTCCCCTCTTTTTCCTCATGCTTCCCGTCATCCTGCGTCGTCCCTCGTATTTGCGCTCTCTATCCGCATCATCACAGCCTCTCATCCAGCCATTCCTTTTCCTCTTCCTCCGTCCCTCTCTCCCTGTTGTTCCCCCCTCTCCCTCATTTTCCTGCTCAGGTGCACTTCCCGTCTAAGTCCCCCCCCCCCCCCCCCCCCCCCCCCCCCCCCCCCCCCGTTTTTCTCAGCAGCTACGCCCATCGGTCGCAAAGCAAGAAAGGGGGGAGACGGCATCGAAGAGGCCTCCGGCAAATCACCGCCGCGCCTTGCCTTTTTGGAAAGCGCCTCTGTGGCCAATCGTTGGGCCGCAGCTTGGCCGAGCTGCCGGATGGGGAGGGGGGGGAACAGGGGAGGATGGAGAGGAGGAAGAGGACGAGGAGGAGGTGGAGGAACAGGAATCCGGCAGGAGGGGACTGAAGGGGAGGAGGAGGAGGAGGAGGAGGAGGAGGAGGAGGAGGAGGAGCGGGAAGGAGCGGGAAGGAGCGGACCATGATAAGGAGAATGACAAGTTGGATTTTGGGGCTATGTTGTGGTGAATGGTTCTTCGAGGACTCGTGATGCCTTGTTGGCGCCATCTTGGGGTGCTCTTGGGGTCCTTTGGGGGGCCTCTTGAATGAGGCTCTTTGGAGGGGTCCAGGGACCCCTCTTCGTGCTCTTAGAGGAGCTCTGGGAGCGCCTCTTGGGGCAATCTTGGGCCCCACTGTTCAAAAACAGGCCGGCGGCTGCAATTCAGGCCCCCGCCCCTCGGAGGCTAAAAAAAACGTTTTGGGGCCCTCTTGCGGCGCTCGTGGAACGCTCCTGGGCGCTCTTGGAGCCGTGTTGGGGCCTTTTGGGGGCCAGCCTGAAGCCTCAAGAGCCCCTCGGAAGCGAAAGGGCGAGAAGGCAACACACGTGTTTTTTCTTTTGGTTTTTGACAGGTTTGGGCCTCTTGGGGAGATCCTCGGAGAGCTCGGAGGGCACTCGGGACCGTCTTGGGGCCGTTTTGGGGCCTCTTGGGACATTTCGGAGACTATCTTGCGCCATCTTGAAGTATATTGAGCCATTTTGGAGGCCATCTTGGCCTTTTTCCGAGACCCTCTTGGAGCCATCTTGGGCCAATAGGAACGCTCTGACACCTCGCGCGGGAGCCCATCCAGACCCATGGAGGAAGGAGGGTAAAAACTCCTGAGCAGGGGGGGGAAAGGAGGTTGGAAAAAACGCCCTAGACCACCTGCGCCCTAAAAGGCTGATGGGATATACTTCCGCTTTGGCTGCGCTTCTGGTCTTCATGTTTTTCGCCCGGCTATTGCGCGCGTCCCGTGTTCTCGGTATTATGTGGTTCGCGTTTCTCGCGCTCGCGTGTGTTTTACCTGTTTTCCGCTGTTCGTGTTTCTCAAATTCGTTTCCGCGCGTTGTGGCTCCCATGTCAGGAAAACAGAAGAGGAGGAAGGATAACGGGGTATTCCGTGACATGTATATCCTCGCTTTCTTTTCTCCGGATTCTATTGGTTTTGCAATGTTAGCAGGATTGTTTGCCAAGTTTCTCATTGCTGCACTTCTCACAAGCAATTGACTTCTCAGCGTTCCGTAGGCTTCCGCGTCTCGGTCTTTCGATTTGTCGTGTTCATGTGCCCCCGTAATTTCACATTTGTTTCGTTGTTCTCGCTTGTCTCCACCTACGGCGCCTTGTTGTCTAAACTTTTCGCGTTTGTTGCGCGTTTCGTGTTTGTTTGTTGCACTTTCCGCACGCCATTCGAACACTTCGCGTTCTTCGGCCTCTTGTGCGCATCGCCGTGTCCATTCTCGCTCTTCTCTCCCTTTTCGCACTTTTCGCGCTTTCTTACTTTTCGAGTGCGTTTCAAATCTTTCGCGCAACTTTTCGAACTTTTCGCACTTCTCACACTTTTCTACTTTTCGCGCTTTTCGCAGTTTTCGCACGTTTCTACTTTTCGCACTTTTCTACTTTTCGCACTTTTCTATTTTTCGGGGCGGCCGCCAGACATCAAGACCCGGATCTAAGCAGCATAGGGTTCACCCCTCAGCTCGGGGTCCCCAGGCCCCATCCCCCGCTCGCCGCCCCTGGGGGTGGGGGGGGCGGGGCAGCTGGGCGGAGCACGGGCTCCTGGAGCACGGGCTCCGGACGGCAGCGGCGCGGAGCACGGGCGGGCTCCTACTCCCTGCCGGGGGCAAGGCGCGCGGAGCACGGGCTCCTGGCGCGCCCTGCCCCCCCCTCCTTTTTGGGGTTGCCGTCCCTCGTGGCGCCCTGTTGTTCACTCGCGATGGGAGAGTTGGCAAGCTTTGACGTGCTGAATCCATTTCGCCGTGAGTTGTGCCGTTCTGAGTGGTGGGCGAGGTTCCCCGCCTCTGCGATCGCTGTGCGCTGTCGCAGCGAGCTCGAGGGGCAGCCAGTGGGGCACGGCGCACTTTCGGGGCTTCCAGGGGTGCACGGGCACACATTTTCAGAGGTCTTCAGCAGTGGGGGTCGAGTTTGCGTCGACTGTGAAAAAAACCTCGTCCTCCCCTCCTCCCCCTGTGCGCTTTCGTCTGCGTCCTCCTACTCCTCGCCTCAGCGCCCCCCCCCCCCGCCCGATGGGGGCGCGCGCAGCGGCTCGGGGCGGCGCGGGCCCGCCCCCTGCAGGTGGACGGCACGCCGACCAGGGCCTTTTTCACCTGCATGAGCAATTCCTACGACTACTCCGAGGACGCGGCTCCCTTGCCAGTCTTCCTCGCCATCAGCTCGCCCCCTGAGTATATGGATGGAGGAGGAGGAGGAGGAGGAGGAGGAGGAGGAGGAGGAGGAGGAGGAGGAGGAGGCGGAGGTGGATTGCGTAGCACTTGATGGAGGGGTAGTGGTACTTGATGGACGGGTTTACGGTTCCGGGGGGGGGGATTTTTGCATGGTGGCGCAATTCGCTTGACGTTTGCCCCGTTGCGCTCCACTCGCCAGCGCAGTCACGCTGCTTAGGCGCCAGCGCAAACATGTTTCGGGGGTGGTACGGCGGGCCTCAGCAAGCAAGGCTGTTCGGGGGGGGTCTCGTCGTCGTCGTCGTCGTCGTCGTGTTTTTTGTCGTCGTCTACGTCGTCGTCGTCGTCGTCGTCGTCTACGTCGTCGTCGTCGTCGTCGTCGTCGTCGTCGTCGTCGTCGTCGTCGTCGTCGTCGTCGTCGTCGTCTTCGCAGTCGTTGCAGGTGACGATGTCAGTCCGAGGACGCGGCCCGCTCGCCCGAAGAGGAACGACTCGTAGAAAAACACACGACCGGAACCCCGCGCTGATTTCTTGGATCTGCGCTGCGCCCCCCCGGCGGCCGGCGGCGCCTCCGGCGCCGCCCCCGGCGCGCTCCGCGCGCCAGGGGGGGGGGGGTCCAGCACCGATCCAAGAAGTCCGCGCGGCGCTCCGAAAGCTGCTGCCCATGAAGTTCCCCAACCAGTGCTTGCATTTAGGTGTTGTTCCTGCTGGTCGAAGGAGCTGGGCCTGGGTGGCGGTCTGGCAGTTGCGTGTTCGCCGTTGCCGCCCCGTCGCCCCCCGTCGTCTTGGCCTGTGTGGCGGTCTTGCGGCTCCGTGCTCGCCATCGCCGCCTCGTCGCCCGCGTTTCTTCCTTCCTCCCTCCCTTCCTCCTCCCCCTCCCTCCTCCCCTCCCTGGCTCTGGCTCTCCGTATGGCCATCCCATTCCGGCACACCCCTCACGCGTTTCGTTGCCCCATATGGAGCACCACCGAAGGCCGAAGCGGCTACGCTCGCATGGCACCACCTCGCCTATTTCGGCATACTACTCACACGTTTCGTGGCCCCTCCCACGCTTCGTGGCCCCATATGGGAGCTCCACCGATGGCCGCAGTGGCTGCGCTCACATGACACCACCGCGCTCATTTCGGCACAGCCCTCACACGGTTCGTGGCCCCATATGGGAGCTCCACCGATGGCCACAATGGCCGCGCTCGCATGGCACCACCGCGCTCGTTTCGGCACACCCCTCCCACGCGTCGTGGCAGCTCCACCGACGGCCCAGCTCGCATGGCACCACCGCGCCCACTTCGGCATACCACTCACACGCTTCGTGGCCCCTTAGAGAGCTCCACCGAGGGCCCCAGTGGCTGCGCCCGCATGGCACCACCGTGCCCATTTCGGCACACCCCTCCCATGTGTTGTGGCCTCCCATGGGAGTTCCACCGAGGGTCGAAGTGGTCGCGCTCGCATGGCACCACCGCGTTCATTTCGGCACACCCCCCTCACGTTTCGTGGCCCCGCAAGGAGCTCCATCGATGGCCCCAGTGACTGCGCTCGCATGGCACCACCGCGCCCATCTCGGCACAGCCCTCGTAATTATGTTTCGTAGCCCCATAGGGAGCTCCACCGAAGGCCCCATCGCAACGCACCACCGCGCCCATTTCGGCACACCCCTCACACGTTTCGTGGTCACATGGGGAGCTCCACCGAAGGCCAACGTCGCTGCGCTCGCATGGCACCACCGTGCCCATGCCGGCACGCCCATCACACGTTTCGTGGCTCTTCGCTCGCATGGCACAGCCGCACCCATTTCCGCCACACACACACACACACCACGGTTCGTGGGCCCGTAGGGAGCTCCACCGAGGGCCCCAGTGGCCGCGCTCGCATGGCACCACCGCGCCCATTTCGGCACACCCCTCACACGATTCGGGCCCCATAGGGAGCTCAGCCGAAAGCCCGGGTGGCTGCGCTCGCATAGCACCACCGTGCCCATGCCGGCACGCCCATCACACGTTTCGTGGCTCTTCGCTCGCATGGCACAGCCGCACCCATTTCCGCCACACACACACACACCACGGTTCGTGGGCCCGTAGGGAGCTCCACCGAGGGCCCCAGTGGCCGCGCTCGCATGGCACCACCGCGCCCATTTCGGCACACCCCTCACACGATTCGGGCCCCATAGGGAGCTCAGCCGAAAGCCCGGGTGGCTGCGCTCGCATAGCACCACCGCGCACGTTTCGGCACACCCCTCGCACACTTCGTGGCCACATAGGGAGCTCCACCGAAGAGGATACGCTGCACGGCGGTATTCACAGCTGCATATGGTTGGGTCTTTCGCCAGGATGCGTTTCTGTATGCGAATTGCTGGGTTTCCTCGATTGCTTCACCCACTTCGCCAGCGGTCTGGACCAGTAATTCCCAACCATCCTGTGGTGTCGGGTCCTTGTTTTGAGGAGACAGTGCCCCGCGTTCTCCTCCCCCTCCTCCCTCCTCCCCCTTCGTGCCTGTGCCCTCCGCACCCCCTCCCGGCACACCCCTCACACGCGTCGTGGCCCCATAGGGCGCTCCACCCAAGGCCGCAGCGGCTTCGCTCGCATGGCACCACCGCGTCCACTGCGGCACACACCCCTCGCGTTTCGTGGCCCCGCAAGGAGCTCCACCGATGGCCCCAGTGATTGCGCTCGCATGGCACCTGCGCAGCCATTTTGGCACACTCCCCACAAGTTTTGTGGCCCCTTCATTGAGGGCCCCGTGGCCTGCGCTCGCAAGACGCCACCGCACGCATTTCGGCACAACCCTCACAGGTCCGTGGCCCCATAGGGGAGCTCCGCCGAAGGCCCCACTATCTGCGAGCGCATGGCACAAGCGCACCCACTCTGGCACACCCCTCGCGCGCTGCGTGGCCCCATATGGGAGCTCCACCGAGGGCCCCAGCGGCTGCGTTCGCATGGCACCGCCGCGCCCAGTCTGGCACACCGCTCACACGCTCCGTGGCCTCCTAGCCCCCGTGGCTGCACTCGCATGGCACCGCCGCGCCCGGTTCGGTGCACCCCCCACAGGCTTCGTGGGCCCATGGGGAGGTCCACTGATGGCCACAGTGTCTGCGCTCACATGGCATCACACGTTTCGTGGCCACATCGGGAGCTCCACCGAAGGGACCCGTGGCAGTGCTCGCACGTTTCCGCCGAAGGCCCCAGTGGCTGCGCCCGCATGGCACCAACGCGCCCAGTTTCGCGGCTTGATGAGGATCTCCACAGAAGGCCCCAATGGCAGCGCCCGCATGGCACCACCGCACCTGTATCTCACACCCCTTAGACGATTCGTGGCCCCATGGGGAGCTCCACAGAGGGCCCCAGGGCAGCGCCCGCATTCAGAGCGTGAATTACCTACCCCGCTTTCGCTTCCAGGCAAAACCAAGTCATACCACGCGCCTCCTCGTCAAGCGGCCTGACCAGTACAGGCCGTACTTTGGCATCGTTTGGTATCTCTTGGAAGCGAGGGTGGTCAAAAGCGAGGTAGGTTTGTTTTCCCCCTACGCATGGCACCACCGCGCGAATTTCGGCGCACCCTAGGGGGCCACATGCGAACCCTACCCCTACCCCCAACGATCTCTGAGGGGGAGGGTGGGGTTCACTTCGCTCGGGAGCTCCCGGACGAAGTGGACCCCACCCTCCCCCTCAGAAATCGTGGGGGGTAGGGGTAGGGTTCACGTGTGGTCCCCTACACCCTTCACACATGTCGTGGTCCATACTGGGAGTTCAACCGAAAGCGGTCGGTACCCACACCGCGGTATTCATAATTGCATATGGTCGGGCCTTTCGCCAGGATGATTCTTTGTTGTTTTCAATCCTCAGCTCCCCTCTTTCTTGCTTTCCCATTCTCCTCTGGGGGCGCCCAGGGGTCCTTGAGACGTGGTCGACCACATCCAGTTGGAATTGGACCGAAGGGACGGATGGGTGGGGATAAGACTTGCGATGGCATTCGAGATGCCGTTCCTCTGCCTCCAGAGAAGTCCAGTGCCAAAGAGGACCAGATCCTGAACGTGCACGTGTTCAGCTCTCTGTACTACTGGGTGTTCCACCTTTATCAGGTGCGGACCACATCCAGTCGTCGCTCCTTCCGTCTCCTGTTGCTTCCGTCGCGTCGGGCATGTCTCATTTGGGGAAGGACGATCGAGCATGATGCAGGAGGATGGGGAGGAGGAATGTGAGGTGCAGGAGAGCAGGAGGAGGAGGAGGAGGAGGAGAAGGAGGAGGAGGAGGGAAGAGGTCCTCTCGCTGGGCGGCTTCCGGTGGTTCAATTCGGCACCGGCCTCCGAAACACGCCCCCAGTGCACGAGTGAGCGACAGGGGACCCCACGGGCCAGCCTCGACGCCTTGAACGCGGATGAGGACGGCTAGATTTTGTTGTCAGCGCCTTCTGGATTGGCCCACGGCACCCTGACAGGACCACTGGGAGGCGCCCGAGAGGCAAGCATCAGTGTTGCCCTCCGGGCTTCTCAACGGCTGCAGGGTTCCATGCCCGTCCGGTGCTCGGAGCGCACGGTTCGGCCCAGTTCTCCGAGACAGCCCAGAAGACCCGCCGAAGGACCCCAGGAGGCGCACGAGACTGGCCGAGAGGGCCCCACGACGGCTCCAGGCCAGAAGGTCCCCGAGACGGCCCAGGAGGGGGGGGGCTTCAGACGGCCCTGCAGAGCCCCAGAAATCCGCGCGGATTGCCAACAACCTATGTTTACGCAGTGTTTTCTTCATCTAGACTCGAGGAAATAACTCGGCGGCGAGCCTGGGAGGGGAAGTGAGAAGGGGCGGGCCTTCTCAGAAGGCAGCTCGGAAGTCCCCCGGCCTCTCGGGACGTTCCCTGGGCCTTCCCCGGAAACGCAGGGATTTTTTCAGAAGGCGCGAGAGAATCCGAGAAGTCCCGCTGCCTTCTGAGAAGGCCTTTTCCTTCTCACTGCCCCCCCCTCGCTCGCCGCCAAACAACTGCATAACCAACAACTTTTGGAGGTCCGCGCGGATGTCGTGGATCTGCGATGCATCCCCCTCCCTGGCGCGCCTCCGGCGCCAGGGGCGGCGCAGGAAGCGCCGCCGACAGGTTCCAGCGCCGATCCGAGGAATCCGCGCGGACCTCCGGACGTTCTGTTGATGCGGTTGCTTGCTCCCCGAAGGACTGCCCAAGCAATGCGAAGCCATGCGGCTGCGCTGCAGTGGGATGGAGTGCGACTGCAGCGCAGGGCGATTGTAGTGCAAAACTGGGGGGGCAGAGGGGTGCCACGGGGCGGTTGCGAGGGACGGGAACGGGACAGCCGGGGCCGCACCCGGACCCCGTAGTCCATGAGAAGAGAAGTGGGGAACCCTGAGTGCAAGCACTGTTCGGGGAACTACACCATTGGTCGAGTAGGGGATCGACTACAGAATCGGTTTACCCCGAAATTCGATGTCTGTCGAATCCGTGTAAAGTTATACGTGCTTTCGCTGTAGCTTCGACGAGGGAGTCAATTTAGGGGCACACCAATTCCGTAGTCGATCCCCTACTCGAATTGGGAACTGGAAGCTGGAGCAGGATTGAGCTGAAGCCTCATCCGCGCAGCCTGGTGGCCCCACAAGGAGGAGGCCGGCGGATGTTTCTGCCGTCTTTTGTTGCTCCTCTGGAGATGGGTCCCGAGCTCAAGTCGGGCCTCTCCCTCTCAGGAGGAACACATTCAAAAATAGTGCAAAAGGAGTCTGGGGACGCTTTATGCTCTCCAAATGTTGATTATTGTTGGAGCATGTTCGGGGTATTTCTAATGTTTCCTCCAAAGCCGCCTGGAGGAGGACGTGCCCGACGTGAGCTCGGGCCCCAGAGGGATGGGGGCCTCGACGCAGGAAAGAGGATCCCGCGTTGAACCCTCACTGCCCGAGGCCGCTCGGCCCTGTGCCCCCATCCCTCCCCTCCCCTCCCCTCCCCTCTCCTCTTCTGGTCCTCCCCTCCCTCCCCTCCCCTCCCCTCCCTCCCTCCACAATTACTCAATATGAATACTACTATCCCTCTTCCCCTGATGACGGCTTGAAAGTGTCCGACCCCCCCCCCGCGTATTGTTTTTGTTACACAGGTTTCCCCGGAGTTGGGTTTTCGCCTGCATTGTTTTCGAAATGCTGCTCTCGCTGAGGCGCCGGCCTCATTTTCGGGCCCCGCTCGTTCCGAATCGTGCTCCCTCTGCAGCGCTGGCCTCATTTCCGTGCTTCCGCTCGTTCCGAATCGTGCTCCCTCTGCAGCGTTGGTCTCATTTCCGCTCTGCTCGTTTCGACTCGTGCTCCCGCTGCAGCGCTGGCGTCATTTCCTGTGCCATGCCACGGCATGCAATGCAATGCAGGTTGATACTACGCTTTGGGGTGCTCTTCTGCGGCATGCCACGCCGTGCTCCACAATGCATCGCGTACCCAGTCGAGATCATTGCCCTGCTCGACATCCGACTGTGCGAGAAGAGAGGGAATCTGCGCCATGGTAAAGGGATGGGAGGGAGGGGTAGGATGTCAGATATGACGCGAGCGCACATAGCTTGCCTCCCTCTTCTCCGTCCCCTCCCCTCCCCTCCCTCTTCTGGTCCTACCCTCCCTCCCCTCCCTCCCTCCCCTCCCCCCCTCCCCTCTCCTCCCCTCCCCTCCCCTCTTCTGGTCCTTCCCCTCCTCCCCCTCCCTCCCCTCCCCTCCCCCTCCCTCTTCTGATCCTACCCTCCCTGCCCCCCCTCCCTCCCCATCCCAACCCTCCCTCCCTCCCCTCCCCGCCCCTTTTCTGGTCCTTCCCTCCTCCCGTCCCTTCCCTCCCCTCCCTCCCTCCCTCCCCTCCCCCCCCTCCCTCCCTCCCCCCCTGGCTCCCTCCCCCTCCCCATCCCTCCCTCCTTCCCTCCCTCCTCTGTGGCTCCCTCCCTCCCCTTCCTCCCGTCCCTCCCTCCCGCTGAACCAGGGCCCGCGAATGGGAAGGGCGCGACGATGATTAGCGGACGGGATTCGGCAAAAGGCCATCTCGATGTCGTCGCCGATCACAACGGAATCGTTGTCTCGGTGTCCTCGTTGTTCATGCCCTGGTCGTCGTTGCAGTCGTCGTCGGATTCGGCAGGGTGGCCTGCGTCACGCTCGTCGTCGCCGTCGCCCCGCGAGGCACAGTTCCTCGAGGCCCGCAAGAAGCAGAGCCGCGAGGACATCGTTTCCAAGCTGGAGCACTTCGGCCACGCCCCCACCTAGTGAAGTGGGAGGGAGGCAGGGAAGGGAGGAGGAGGAGGAGGAGGACGAGGACGAGGAGGAGGAGGAAGAGGACGCGGGCGGATGAAGGCGGAGGAGGAGGGCGGAGGAGACGAAGGAGGACGGCAGCGCGTGAAAAGGAGGAGGATGAGGACCAAGCGAAGGTGGAACATACTTGATATGAGGTGATGGGAGGGAGAGAGGGAGGGAGGGAGGGAGGGAGGGAGGGAGGGAGGTTGGAGGAGGGGACAGACGAGGAGGAAGAGGCGGAGGAGGAGGAGGAGGAGGATCAGCTACCAGAAAAACGGCCAAAGCACAAGCCGTGTAATTCTTCACAGATGCAACAGGACATGTTCTGGAACACGAGGAGCAACAGAGCGACGATTTTTACAAGACACTTCGCACAACAACCATAACCTAGGCAGACACGAAGGCGCGACTAGCTGACACGTTCGCCAACTGCCACTTATTTCGCCAGGCAGAAACGAACGCACCTACGACTACGACGGCGCAAATCAATACAGCTCGCAACCAAGCACGCCGCAGCTCCATGGAGACACACTCTCTACGAACCACGCACCACTCTTCACAGACCAACGACTACCTTTTTTTAGAGCACTGCGAGTTAAGTATCAAACGGGACTCCGACCACGACGTATCAAGTACAACGTTACTCGTAGCAAACGCACCACACTACTGTGTTTGACCGACTTCAATCACGAGCACAATCAAGGACCGGCGGTTTTACTTTAAACGGAGAAGGTTAAAGGCGAGATGTATATCGAGCATGCACCGCTGCCGTGCCTGGCTCAAGCCGGGCCCGGCCTGATATGTGATTGTGCCTCACCGAGGCGCACGACTTGTATCTGAGATCGGAAAATACCTTTTCCATTGACGATGCCCCTTCTATCCTTTACTCCAGATCCCATGCTTCGTCTCGCTCTCTTGCTCATGCGATATGAGCCAAAGCCTGGGATATGGGAGCGCCTAAGGCGGAACATATATCTAAGCTTACCAGTGCGGTTTCGACTTGGTAGCGGAGCTGGCTACACTCTCGTGTGGCTGGCTCTCGCTCTGATTCCTGTAATCCACGGCACAACTTGGTGGACTACTACTACGGTGGAATACCATGTTGCGCCGGCTCTGCGAGGAGCGGAGCCAGTCCGCGATCGAGCTAGCGGGGCGACCCGCGAGCTCGAGACGCTCTATCTTACTTCACTGCGCTACTTCACTCCCGACTTCCACCAGATGCCAATCGGCAACTCGATCGAGAATGTGGTCACCCTGCGGGGCTACCCGCAGCGGGGCCACCTGCATCCCGTGCCGGTCAGGCGCCTCACGGCTACTACGCCAGAGCCTGACAAACCACAGCCTAACCCAATCACCGAAGCCGAGATGCACATGCACTGGATTAAGATAGCTATCTTCGGCATTCTATGGGTGATAGTGGGATGTGCTGTGGGATACATGCGGCAGGGGATGGACGACACGCGTACTACCGGCCCTTCGTGGGACCCAGCCGGTACTACGCCTTTTCGCGAATACGTTCGCGAAGTACATGCATGGATAAACGTAACGAGCGGCAATATGACGCCACCTCAGCAAGCTGCAGCACTACAACGTGGCCTTCAAGGCCTTGCTCGTCGTATCGCCATGCAGGCCCCCTCCCAGATCATCAACTATGGTGTAACTGTCAACGGACAGCCAACGGATGCAGTTACTTATATACTGTACCTATTGAGCACCAAATTTGAAAATCTGGAAGATGAGCGCCAGCTCAACTCTGGCACTGCCCTCATCGACTTTCGCGTCGAAAGAGGCGAGCGAATCGACTCAGTGTTAGCTCGATTCGAGATGGCCCGTGACGAGGCTAACTTTGTTGGCTTTGTCATCCCCAACTTTCAGATCCTAACGCTGACCCTTTTCAGAGCGTTAGGCGTTGGCGCGTCACGAGCCCAACACCTGCTGGAGCCCTTTAATCATCAGATGCCCAGAACACAAGCAGACTATGATAGGCTGCTTATCAGGATGAGGAACTACGGACATGTTGCCGAACGCTCTCCTGGCAACATTGCGGGTATCTTCACAGGGCACCACTCACATGCAGGTGTCTACGCCACGACTGCGGGGTCACCCGCTGGTCCTGGCGAGCCAAGTCCCTGGGCTGACCCAGCCGATATGCCCAACGAGGCCACTGCCTTCTTAGGGCAGACCGGCCAGGCATCGGCAGAGGCAGTTGAGGCGAACGCCTGGTCGAACTACACGCCAGGCGCCGCCTACACTGCAAGCCCGCCCTCGGGCGCAACCCTCTGGGGCCAAGCGGAGTCATCCGCTCAAGGGTCTCAGCCACCCTCACCGTTTGAATCTGGCACTGACACAGATACCTCATCTGACGATGAGCACAATGGCATAGTCTCTGCTGGTAATGACTATCCAGCGGATGACACTCACCTTTCTGAACAACAAAGAGCGGAAGCCGCTTTTATGGCTTATCGCAAATCAAAACGCCGTTGGAGGCGCTTTATGAAGAAACCAGTCAGAAAAGTGAGACGTGCAGTACGCCGACATTTCAAACGATATGGAAAGGGTCGTGGCAAAGGGGGTCGCAGACGTATGCATGGTAGGGGTATTACTGCTTTCCTCACGTCCTTAACTGATATAGTTTTTGAAGAAGTTCTTATCGGAGGCAAAGGTCGGGGTCGCAGGCGGACCTCTGGTAAGGGAAAAGGGCGGAGGGGCAACCCTAGGGACGCTTCTGGCAATACTATGAAGTGTCATACATGCGGTAGTACAGAGCATTTGCGCGATCAATGCCCGAAAGGGAAAGGAAAGGGATCCGTACATTTGGCTCAAAACTCTTTTATGGATGACATAGACTACATTGACTACGAGTTTTACGTCAATCCAGAAGCGGCTCCCGCCGCGGGCTCCTCCACGTACTACGTGATGGCCCGCTGCGCTGAAGTGACCGTAGCCCTGGAAGAGTACGCGGTGACCCTCTTCGACGAGGTCCACGGCTGGGACGAAGTCGACGAGGTCGCGTTCAATGCCTGGTTCGGTCTTCCAGCGGGGCCACCCGCCGACGACGAGATCTCCGAAGCTGAGACCGTCCCGGCGACCGAGGAGGAGCTCGCCGCCGCGCTGGCACCGCAGGTGATTGGCACGCCGTTGCTGCCAGATCTTCCGCGAGCTGGCTCGGAAGCGGGAGACGCTGATGACGAAATGCGGGGCCATCCCGCTTTTTCTGACTCTGAAGAGGCCGAAGAGGACCATAAGGACATGCTCCAAGAGCAGGTCGCAGAAGCAATCCAGCTCCTGAGTGCGCCAGCACATCAGCAGATAACCATGAACGACCTGCTGTCGCGCCCAGGGGCCGCGAGGCTGCGTCCACACCTGGATTCGGACATGTCGGCACCTCAGATGCTGACAGCACTCCAGGTTCTAGCGGGGTCACCCGCCGAAGTGGCGCCAGCCGCAGCAGCGGGGCCACCCGCTTGGTCTATGGATGCATTCATGCAGGGCTGCGACCAGATGGACCTCAACGACCTCACGATGGAGCAGCTAAACGACATCGGGTACTTCCGAAGCCCGCATCAGCACGTATTCATGGTCCAGGACAGCTCAGAGGACTCGGAGGACATGCGCCATGCCAAGAAGGACAGACGACCATCGCCTCCACGAGACTCAGAGCATGAAGATGAAAGGCCCATGGAACGTGGCAGTGCGTCAGCGGGGCCAGCCCGCAGGAAGAGCCGTTCAGCTCCACGACGCCCTACACATGATGCATCTGGCTACCCGTACAGTACGGGGCACTCCGTAGGTGTATCCGCTCAGTACGTGCCGGAGTGGTACATCAATTGGTACCCCGGCTACTCGATGGACGTGATCCGCCACTGGTATTCTAAGGAGTACTGCACCAAACGGGACGAATCTGGCATGATAATACGTACCAAGGGTGGCAAGACTAAAACGCCAGAGGCTTGGGACAAAAGGGCTAAGAAACAGGAGATCATCAACGATCGCAAGACATACAGGAAACAAGTATGTCAATGCGAGCCCTTCAAAGGTCACATGCGCAGCTGTCCAATGGACCGCCCCTCCAGGAGCCCTCATCACGGTGAGACCCCGTGGAATTGGTCTCATGGAGATGACGCTGGCAACGTCCATGATCCTAACAAGGAGGTCCCTGGAGGAGGAAAGCGCATCACTGAAGCCGATCGCGTCCCTATGACCGAGGAGGTTGCCAACGCTGTCAGGGAAAATTGGGAACAGCTTCCCAATGACCATTGCCTCAAGGAATGGAACCGCCGATTCCATAAAGAGGCGGGGTCACCCGCAGAATCCAGCGGAGAAGCGGGGTCACCCGCAGACGCGGCGCCAGCTGCTGGGTCCGCGGACGAGGAGTGGATAGCTGTCGCATCTGCTGCCGGATCCGCCGCCGGCGCTGACCAAACCGAACTGAATGAAGAATGGGCGGCGGAAGACGGCTCAGAGAATCCATTCCCTGATGGATGCGCCTGCTGGTACTACAGCTCCTCGCTTCAGAAGTGGTTTTGCACGAGGGTAATTCACCGCCACGAAAATGGCAAATACAAGCTGGCCATAAAAGGTACTGCCGACATCGACCAGATGAGGCAGATCATCCATGATCATGGCCAGCCAGAAGGCCCCCCTAAAGACCCTCCTGGTCCACAACCAGGCAAGGGCAGCAGACCGCCTCCAAGACCTGAAGCCGACTCCTCGTCTTCACCGACTCCTGCGAAGAGGCACCCGTCCAAGAGCCCCGAAGGCACACGGGGGCGTGCGAAGGCCAGAGGGATCGCCAAAAAGGACGACCCTGAGCCGGGAGAGCCTACCGGCCCGTCCGTGACGGAGAGGAGGAAGGCTTTTGCTGGACCATCAACCCCGATGCCACCGGCTGCCCAAGGCAATGTCAAGGACGAAGTTCGCGACCAGCCTAAGGCAGCCTTCCGAGGTGACTGGACT